TACGTGTTATATGACAGATGAACTCTGAAAACATTCCGCTAAGTGAAAGAAGCCAATCACAAGACCACAGACCGTATGACTCAATTCATATAGAGAGTAGACACTTAGTTGCCTGGGGCTGGGAAGAGGGGTGTGGGGAGGGGGCTGAGAAGAGAGGCCTGAGAGCTAAAAGGTACCGTGTTTCCTTTTGAGGTGATGAAACTGCTCTGAAATTGACTGTGGTGACAGTTGTACAGAAGGAATAGACTGAAAATCACTGAATTTTATACTTTAAATAGGTGAATTGTATAATTCATAATATGTGTATATAACATATTGTATAATATAATATTGTACAATACAATAATAAGAATGATACAATACTATGAATTGTATTTCAATAAAGCTACTAAAAACCAGTTATATAATCCAGTGACTCCACTCCTAGACATATACCCAAGATCAATGCAAATATATGTCCACAAAAAATCTTATAGTACACAGACGTCCACAGAGGCCTTATTCATAGTACCCAAACATAGAACCAACTCAAATGTCTATCATTTGAATGGAAAAGCAAAATGTGACACATTCATACAACAGAACATTATTTAGCCATGAGCAGGAACCAAGGACTGATACTTGCTATAACATGGGTGAACGTTAAAAATCACAAGCTAAGTGAAAGGAGCTAGTTACAGAAGACCGTAGATTTTATGACCGTGGAGAGATGATAGAGACAGAGTAGGTTAGTGGTTGTTATGGGCGGAGGGAGATACAGCAGTGGGGCATGACTGCTAATGGGTATGAGCTTTCTTTATACTATGGTGAAAACATTCTGGAATTAAAGAATGGTGACGGTTGTACAATTCTATGACTACACTAAAAAACAATGAATTGTACACTTTATTTACTTATTTTTTTAAAGACATGGAAAAATCTTTTTTTTTTAAAGATTTTATTTATTTATTTATTTGTTGAGAAAGAGCACAAGCAGAGGGAGCAGCAGGCAGAGGGAGCAGCAGACTCCTGGCTGGGCAGGGAGCCGGATGTGGGACTTGATCCCAGGACTCTGGGATCATGACCTGAGCCGAAGGCAGATGCTTAACCGACTGAGCCACCCAGGCGCCCCTACACTTTATTTTTTAAGATATTATTTATTAATTTATTTGAGAGAGAGAAAGCAAGCAAGTGCACATGACAGTGGGGAGAGAGGGAAGGGGCAGAGAGGGAGGGAGGAAGAGAGGCTCAAGCAGACTCCATACTGAGGGTAGAGCCCCAAGCAGGGCTCAACCCCATGACCCGGAAATCATGACCTGAGCTGAAACCAAGAGTCAGATGTTTAACCGACTGAGCCACCTAGGTGCCCTTCTGAATTTACTTTAAAAGGGTGAATTTTCTGACATGTGAGTTATATCTCAATGAAAATAACTAATATTTGAATGTGCACTTGGCGCTGTGCTAAACACTGTACACTCATCTTATTGTGGTCCTCACAGAAGCCAAAACGGAGTCATAAGGAAATTCTTCAAAAATTTTCCAAAATTGCACAGGAACAAGTGGACAGAGACTGGAGTTCTGGCTGACTGACCCCAAACCAACACTCCTGAGTCCTGCACTCTTCTGACCATAGCGTGTGCACAATGCCTGGCATGCAGCTAGGGCTCAACAAGTATTAGGTATTATTGTTATTATGATCCCATTTGTGTACCCAGGCGAAAACCTGAGACACCATGGCGGGAAAGAAACAGTGGAAGAGGCAGGGCCAAAGAGACCAATTTAAAGCTGAATATAGGGAGCCTGGGGGGGTTCAGTTGGTTAAGCAACTGCCTTCAGCTCAAGTCATGATCCTGGAGTCCCAGGATCAGGTCCCACATCAGGCTCCCTGCCCAGCAGGGAGTCAGAATCTCCCTCTGAACTTTGCCCTCTCATGCTCTCCCTCGCTCTCATTCTCAAATAAATAAATAAAATCTTTTAAAAATTGTCGAAGCAAGACACGGTGAGGAACTGAACTAAGACAGGAGGTAGAACTGTAGGAAGGAGCAAAAACAGGAACTTCTACAAAAAAATAGGAATTGTCCTATAGGTTGGGTTCATTTACAATGTGATAATATTTATAACCACAGGACATTAACATAAACTGCATTCACAACTGTACTCAACTCATTAAGAAAGGTTAAATTTGGGGCACCTGGGTGGCTCAGTCAGTTAAGCATCTGACTCTTGATTTCAGCGCAGGTCATGATCTCAGGGTTGTGAGGTGGAGCCTCGGTAAGGCACCTTGCTGGGTGTGGAGGCTGCTTGGGATTCTTTTTCTCTCCCTTGCTCTGCCCCTCCCTACCCTCTCTCTTAAAAAAAAAAAAAAAAGAAGAAGAAGAAGAAGACTGTGCGTTCCAACACCATCTCTTTTAAGATATATAGTCATTAAACTAGAATTTAGTATGTCCCATCAGGGTCACCAAAACCATCTCATTAGTTTCCTTAGCAAAAATCCCTGAGTCATAAAGAACTTGAGCTAACTAGCATGGTAATTGTATTCTTCGGTGGATGAACATCTTTTAACCCTGGAAAGATTTAGAATTAAGTATAAAAACGTTTAAAAAGGGGCACCTGGGTGGCTCAGTGGGTTAAGGATCTCAGGGTCCTGGGATCGAGCCCGCATCCGGCTCTCTGCTTGGCAGGGAGCCTGCTTCCCCCCAACCTATCTCTGCCTGCCTCTCTGCCTACTTGTGATCACTCTCTGTCAAATAAATAAATAAAATCTTTAAAAAAAATTAAAAGAAAAAAAAGGAGGTGAGATAGTCATGTGTTATCTACGGGAGGAGTGTTCCAGGAAGATGGGACTGTAAAGATTCTAACATGGAGCAGAGAGGGCTGGAGGACTAGAGAGAGGAAAGAGAAATGGACTCAGAAAGGAAGAGCGGACAGTGCAGCAGGTAGGACATCATAGGACCATCTTTTATAAGGCTTTGGTTTTTAATATGAGTAAAATAGGAACCACTGTAAATGGGGAGGCACTAACCATTTTTGAGCAAAGAAGTGACAAAAACTTCCCTCAAGGGGAATAAAAAAAAAAAAAGTACATCAAATCCTTTAGATATTATGAACATAGAATTATGTCACTGAAAGGGTTAAGCCTATTAAACAGAAACCCAATTTCAAATAGGAAATAAGACTTATAGAGAATGAATCAAGTATCATGGGGTCAGAAATTTACATGGGGTACAGAAATTTACCTCAAGGAGCCCAGGTACTCAGGATGCCTTCTGCTGACATCTTGCAGTCCAACCCACACGTGCCCATTTGGCCAAGGGTTGCAGGTTAGATTGTTAGGTCGCATTTGCCACTGCTGTGGCCAGGGAGGTTCCCAGGAATAAATATCTCTGATCCTTAGTTATCAGCGAAAAGCTCTTGCTCCAGGGGTCCCACAAACCCACCCATACTTGAGGCTTGGGGAAGGTGGGACAAGAGAGTAAGTTTGAGCCTTGTCTTCCCTGTTGAGGATTTTGGACTTTGTTCTGATAAAGATCAACTGAGGTTTTTAGGGCAGGAAAGCAAAGTAACCGACGCGCTTTCCAGAAGACTCTGGAGGTGCTTTTAGGAGGGAACGAAGAACAAGAACAGGAGACAGGGGCTTTGGGAGACTGCCGTCGTTCACCTTCTGGCTTAACGCTTACATTCCCCACTTAACGCATTTCCTCATCTGGAAAGTGGAATAACCATCGACCTGACCGGGTGGCTGTTTTATGTGAAATTAAGTGAAATAATTCATATAGGTGAAGGCACTCCATTTACTAAATAAACTTCCGCAAACAGGAACGTTTATTGAGAACACAACACTGGCGTGCGTAGTTAAAAGCCCACTAGGTGGGAATCTACTGCTTCCAAAGACGTCTTAAACGAAAACCAACACAATGTTTTATATCAATTATATCTCAATTTTTTTAAAGAAGAGAGAGAGAAGGAAAGAAAATCTAACACGTCTTGGAAAGGTGTGGAGTCTGGCTTCTGGCACAATCAATGTGAAATAAGCGCATTGGAAGGGGAAGGAGCCAAACCGCTAACTAACTTATAAAAGAGGCAGCCTGCACGGATAGAAGGTGCGTTTGTGCGGTTCCGTCATAAACCAAAAATTATGGCTCCGTATGTGTTGGGTGTAGCAAGTCTGCCTTCGGTTCTGAGCCCGGATCTGTTGCATCACGATATAAAACCAAAGGATGGAGGATGGAGGAAAAACTCGGACTACTGCCCAGGGAGCCACCTTCCCGAGGAAGCGCCCGGGGCGCGGGGGAGCAGCGCCGGGACCCCGGCCCGCGCGCCCCCCGCCGCCCCATTGGGCGGGCCGCCCGTCACTCGCCGCGCAGCCCGAGCCCGGCCGGCCGCCGACCCTCCCGGAGTCCGCGGCGCCCGACGGCTCCACACATGCCGGGCGCCGTCCCCGCGCCGCCTGTCCGCCGCCGCCGCCGCCGCCGCCAGGAGGCTCCGCGCGCCTTCCCGCCTTTCCCCACTGCGCGGTCGGGCCCGGCCGGGCCCGGCGGGCGGCGAGGCGGGCGCGGGCGGCGACGGCGCGGCCATTGTCCCGCAGCCCCTCCCGGGCGCGCAGGAGGGGCTGGCCGGGCGGGGCGGCGGGGCGGCCGCGGGGAGGGCCGGCAGCGGGGTCCCGAGCCCGTGCGCCCCGGCGCCGCCCGCCTCTTCCCGCGGGCCGCCGCCCCGAGGCCGGGCCCCCGCTGCCAGCCGCGAGCCGCCCGCCGCCCGCGCCGCCTTTGTGGCCGTCCCCAGCCCCTCAGAGCCGGCGCGCCGCCGCCGCCACCAACGCCGCCTCTGCGCCGGGGGCTGCAAATGGCGCCCGGCCGCCTCTGCGCCTCCCGCCGCTCTGCCGGCCCGGGGAACGTCTGGGGACGCCGCGCCCGGGCCGCATCCCGCGGCCGCCGCCCGCCCTCCGCCCGCAGCCAGGCTCGCGGCCCGTCCCGGCAGCCCCGACGCCCCGCCCGCCCTCCGCCGCGCCGCGCGCAGCCACTTACCGCGGGCCGCGGCGCACCGGCGGGTCGCGCGCGCGGGCTCGGGGAGGATTCCTGGACCTCGGCAGGGGAAATACCCACTTTCGAAGCCGCTCCTTTGCGCCCTAAAACAAGTAGCCCCAACGTGAGAGAAACAAAAGGTATTTGCTGACGTGGGCGTTGGACAGAAACGCCCGAGGGCTGGGGACACAATTAAAGGGGCAACGCACAGATTTCAGGCACCAACCAGCGGCTTCGCCCACTCCCCCTGCCCTTGCCTACACCCCGCTGCACCCTCCAGAGGCTCCGGGGTCCCCAGGTTCCCTGGCCGTTGACCACGGAATCATTATTTAGTCAGGAGCTTAAATTTAAAATTGTACTTTACGTTGGGAAAGGCGCCTCCGGAGGGCAGAAGGGCTGGATTTCTAGGATCTGGGGAATTTGGTTTAGGAAAGAGGGAGGGACTTAGGCGTGCCCACAATTACTGTATAAGTACATGTGACATTATTGTACTTAAGTTTAGCAACGTCAAATGTAAGTGATTTCACAGAATTCTTCCCTTTACTGAAGCCCTTGTTTTGGTTGGGGATAACCTTTTCTAAACCTCTATAGGTCACAAGCATTCTATTTGAAGAGGAAAACCCAGAGAGTCAGATAAGAGAAAATAATTCTTAAGTTCAGAGAAAATATAAAACCAGTAAAAATAGCAGGTTTTTACAAAAATTCATTGTACATCGACTTTCTTTTGCCATATTTATGGCCCTAAGTGCAAACAGGTTATATATTTGCTAAAAATCCCAAGCCACTGAATTTTCACTGCAACTACAGAAACATGAATTCTTCAAATTAGTTTCTAGTTCCTTATGTTGGGTCAGGTACTGAAAAGCACTGTGATGTAATAGGACTGGAAAAAATGTCAAAACCTTCCATTTTTCGATGGCTTCCTCTTCTATGTCATACTCAAAGTGGACAAAGATCATTGGTCCCATCAACAATTCGCTGTGCATTTTGAGGATTGAATGCACTAGGAGAGGGATACAAAATATTCACAACATCTCTTAATGTCACTTCCTTATGACTGTAGAGGTGTTTTGCTATTTACCTGCATTCCTTCACATTCAGAACAGGTAAATGGAAACAAGTTTGAAAACCACTAAGTATCAGGAGGGTTTGCATGTATTCAAGCTACTTTGCAAGCATCCCCATTGAGAATTCTTCCAGAAAGACCTGGGCATTGTTATAATGCAAGGGTTTTTTTCCTCAGACTTCATTAATTAGAACATGCAAAAGAGTTCTACAAACTTGTTCCTCCAGAGAGCACATCAGATTGGTGATAAACACTTTGTTGCAAGGAAGAAGTAATAGGCGTTTTCCCCCTTCCCCTTCCGTTTCCTAGCTTCTAAAACTCATTTATATAGTTGGAGAATCCCTGACGTTGTGATTAATTGGTGGCAGGTAGAATCTGCCTCCTAATAGAATCTGGAAATGCCAATGACTTGCTTTCCCAGAATCCCCTACAGCAAGGATAGTGCCCATGCTCCACACTTTGATAATCAGATGCACACACTTTGAAGAGGGAGCTCAAGGAAACTTTTTTTTTGCAGCGTGGATAGCTACAACAAGATCATATCTCTGGGTGCCATATGGCAGGGCTGCTAAGGGCAGCATCTGCTGTCCAGGGCCATCAGTGGTGGCAGCTGCCACGTTTCTGTTTGCTGAGAGCGGTGTTGGTAGCCTCACCAGGCCAGCTCTGTGCTATGACTTGGCTATTGCTTATGCCTGCCTAGCAGAGGCTCCAACCCCTGTGCTCTGCTCTCTCTGGGATTCTGTGAACTTTTAATACATTCGTTTCTGCTTAAATCAGCCATGGCCAGTCTGTACAACTAAGAGCCCTGACCAATACAAAATGTTAAGATGGCTTCTGGGCCTATGGCATGGATCTTAATCGATAGAATTGTTAGAGGTAAAATGTTGTCACTGGTATCCTCTGGATGGGAATTAGAACCATGGGTATGGATAGAGAGAGAACACAGAGTGAGAAGAGAAGAAGGCTTAGAATCGAGCTGTAGCCACTTTGTCACCCAGGGGCTGGTTAGAGGAGGGTGAAATTGCAACTGACATCAAGAAGCAACTAGAGAGGAAGGAAGTAGCCTGGGATGCCACCTGGGACGGTATCGTAGAAACTCGGAGAAGAGTAACTCCAAAAGGAAGAACTGGACAACGGTGTTAAATACTTCTCTTAACAGGCTAACCCAAAGTGTCTATTAGATTTAACAACTCAGAGATCATTGACTTCAACTTGAAAGAAAGGAGCAAAATCCAGATTAGAGGAATTAGTGGGGGATAAAGAAACGAGGTAATGAGAAGAAACAACTCTAAAAAGAAAGATTTAACTCATTTATTTGAGAGAGAGCAAGCACAAGGGCAGAGGAAGAGGGAGAAGCAGACTCCCTGCTGAGCAGGGAGCTGACTCAGGGCCAGGACCCTGGGATCATGACCCGAGCCGAAGGCAAACGGCTAACCCACTGAGCCACCCAGGCACCTGGAGAAGAAACAACTTCTCAGAGAGATTTTGGTGTAAAGGGGATGTTCACTTAATGGTATAAAACGAAAGCTGTATTATTATGTCCCAAGATCCCATGGATCAAGAACTAGACAAGTCACAGCAGGGATGGCTTGTGTCTGTTTCACAATGTCTGGGGTTTCAGCTGGGAAGACCCAGATGGCTAGGAGTGACTTGAACTTCTGGGAATTGGAATCATCTGGAGGTTTCTTCACTCACAGGTCTGGCACCAAGATTGGGATCCCTTGAAAACTGGTTCAGCTATGACTGTTGTTACCTGGAACATCTACATGTAGCCTCTCCATGTGCCTTGGGCTACTTGCAACATGGTGTCTGGGTTCTGAGAGGGAGAGTCCTCACAAGAGAGCGCGCCAAGAGGGAGTATCCAAGAGAACTAGGAAGGAGCTGTGTGATCTTTCATACCTATCAACAGAAGTTATGGCACCCCACTTGCCCTATCCCATTGGCATAAGTAGTTATAACCTACCAAGATTCAAGCAGAAGGGGACAGAGCTGCTATCTCTTAATGGGAAGAATGTCAGAGAATTTGGAGACAGGTCCTAAAACTACTACAGACAGAGATAGTATTAGCTAGAAGGGGATACGGGTAAAGACTTAAAAATAAATGCTGAAGGAAAACATGAAGATAAGAGGGAAAGATTAAATATACAGGAGGAATAATTAATAGTGGCTGAATTTCTGCAATTGAGGGAGAAGGGGATCAAAATCTCAAAGAAACAGTCCCTAGACAGGAAAAGTGAAAATTCCACTATCCCCATTGGAGTAGAGGGCAAGGAGAAGAACATGGATACGCGTGGTAGTTTTTACATGCCTACATATTCTTTGACACTGTTCTCTTCAAGAGGTTGACCCCAGTTCCCCTCTGCCTGAGTGTGAGCTGGACTTAATGACCGCTTCTAAAGAATGGAATGAAGCAGAAATTCCAGTGTGGGATTTCAGAGTCTTGGTGATAAGAGGCAAAGCAGCTTCCTACTTGTTCTTTCCCTGTCTTGGGTCTGCTGTTCTGGGAAAAACCAGTATCCTCAGCCAGCCACGTGGAGAGGAACTGAAGCTTTCTGCCAACAGCCATGAGAGTGTGCCACCTTGGATTGGATCCTCCAGCCCCAGACAAGCCTTCAGCTGACTGCAGTCCCAGCTAACAACTTGAGTGAAACCTCCTGAGACACCCAGAGCCAGAACCAACCAACTAAACTGTTTCCAGATTTCTGACCCTCAGAAATCTTGTGAGGTCATTCATATTTGTTCTTTTAAGTCATTAAGTTGTGGGGGCAACTTGTTATACAGCAATAGATAACTTCTACAAGTTGTGGTACCTCGAAGTGCTACCATGACAAAAACCTGGACGTGTGACTCTGGAACTAAGCCATGGAAGGTGGAAGGACTCTGAGGGGACTGTTAGTGAAACTTGAGACTTTTGAAAAACAGTAGACTCGTTATGGCCGTTGAGGAAGCTGCAGGGACGGCCTAAAGGAGAAATCACAAAAATCATATTGGACACTGAAAGGGGTCTTTGTTATGTATTGGAAGAAATTGAGTAACACTATTGCCTGCAATAAGGTGAAAAGTGGAAAATAGACCTAATAAATCAGGTGATCCAGCTAAGGAGATTTACATGCAAAATGTGGAAGGAGCTGCCTGGTCTCTTCTTGCAACTTGTAATAAAATTGGAAAGGACAGAGATAAGTAAAGGAAGGACTATTAGACAAAAGGATGCCAGAACTTTCTGGTTTTGAAAATTCCAGACTCTCCAGGTGGCAAATGATGTAAAAATTAAGACATGACTTCTGAGCAAAGATTAAATCCAGGACAATGTCAGGAAAACACAGTCCAAAGGTGAAGTGAAGAGAGTAGCTGTAAAAATCCTTTGTCAAGACCTAAGAAAGATGGAAGGTGTTACCTCAGAGTACTGTTCATTTAGATAAAAAGTCCTCCAAAGATTTAAGGATATGACTTATGAATCCTCATTCAAATAGTAGAATTCTGAGAAGCTTACGGGCAGGGACAGCTGGGTGGCTCAGTTGGTTAAGTGGCTGCCTTCGGCTCAGGTCGTGAACTTGGGATCCTGGGATGGAGCCCCACGTTGGTCTCCCTGCTCAGCAGGGAGTCTGCTTCTCCCTCTGCCTTTCCCCCAACTCATGCTCTCTCTCTTTCTCTCTCTCTCAAATAAATATTTAAAAAAAAAAGAAAGCTTAAGGGCATTCGTTGTTCCTCAAAGAAGCTCAAGTTTATAGAAGAATTTGTCTTGAAGAGTTTTGTAAGAATACCTTTTGTCTAATGGAGTGAACCTCAAGAAGGTTCACAAGAGTTCCACATTTTTAAGAAATGTCCAGAGGAACACTGCCCAGTTGGACTGAAAGGATCAGGGGCAATACAAAGTGAAAAGATATCCTCTGACCCCCAAAGTTCTACTGGTAAAATGCAATCTGTGAAAACTACACAGTTGCAAATGTGGACTATTTTCTATGCAAAAGGAAGGATGACTCAGGGCAGAAGCAAGAGCCATGGATGATTCTCCCCAGGCCTTGAGTCCTAATCAAGGAAGTTCCAACATTTGTCCAGATGGGTTTCAGAATTGCTATGGACCAGTTCCTCATTTGTGCCAGCATCTCCATCCTTTTTGAAGAGCGATGTCTATAGTGATTATCCTATATGTACCACCATTGCCTGTTGGGTAAGTATGAAGCAGATAACTTGTCTTTAGTTGACAGATCTTCAGATCAAGA